GATATTGGAAGGCCACCGGAAAAGACAGGCCGGTGCTGCGCAAGGGTACCCTGGTGGGGATGAGGAAAACCTTGGTGTTCTATCAAGGGAGAGCACCAAAGGGAAGAAAAACTGATTGGGTCATGCATGAGTTCCGCCTTGAAGGTCCCTTTGGCCCTCCTAAACTCTCCTCTCTCAAGGTACTCTTCTTCCCCCTTTCCTTAAATTTTTTTTACTGGAAAAAGGGAAGAAAAAAAAAGGGTGAGAATTAGAAGTCCTAACTTTGACAGTTTACCATACTGAGGTTAGTTAGTAATTTAGAATAAAGGGAAGCGACTCTTTTAAGGGAGTGGACCAATTGAATCGGGAATCTGACGGGTACTTAATCGGCCGAATGAGTGTTAAATTTGATCAGTGGTCAATAGCCACCCTCTGATTTTATTACTAGTATGTCTCGTCTTTTTTATGAAGTTCCTGACATCTGACTCGGAATCTTTTTTGCGCTAAAAAACAGTTCTGCAAATAGTTTTTGAGAATTTCTTATTGGCACAGCATCAAAATTTTGTCTCATCAGTTCTGACAAAGTCAAAGATCGATGCTAGTACATAATCCTTAGGAGTGTCCGTGTTTGTCTAATTATTATTCTCTTATAATAACGCTCAAGATGCAAAACATTTTATAGTGCCCTGAAATTCCATTATGCTTCCTAATCCTTATGCGCCGGAAACCTTTGGCTCTTGGCTTGCTCGAAGATTTCCCAACCCAAATAACCCATGATTAAGAAAGGGGAGAACGCATTGTGTATCCAAAAACGAATGGTAATTAATATAGGTTCAACAAACTTGATAGAAGAATTTTTGTTTTGAACAAAGTGAAGATAATTTTGAAACATAAATTTTAATTTTCCGAGTCCCATTAGACGGTACGTGTTAAATTAAGTTGACGTAATTAAGCCTCAATTTTCATGATATGAATACAAAACCCTAAAGACGAGCAATTGCTCAGGCGCTGAAATTTGCTTCAATTTGTTCATCTTCCTAAATTCCAGCTACCATATTTGTCCGTTTCACGTCTCTCTTATTCTCTTTAATTTTGTGTCTTTCTTTTCAATCAGTGTAACATAATATTATAAGTGGAGCTAAAATATACTCTATATTTGCGTTCGTTTTGCATGAAAGCAGCAGGAGGATTGGGTGTTATGCAGGGTTTTCTTCAAGAATAGAGACAATAATATTATTGCTGCCAAACAAGGCATGGACATGAACAGCTACGATGGTGAGACTAGCCCTTCACCTTTGCCCCCATTAATGGATCCCTACTTCAAATTCGGCCAAACTCAGACCAATACCAACGAGCACGAGCAAGTGCCCTGCTTCTCCATTTTCTCACCCGACCAAGCCAACAACAACAGCCAGCCCTTCTCATACCTCGCCCATATGGACGTTCCCAGCTTTTCCACCAAGAACATGCCCACTTTTAATTTTGGAGGCATACCAGACTTTGGAGCATATTTCAGCTCCTCTTGCCGTGAACAAAAGGTCATAAAGGCTGTCTTGAACCAACTTACGAGGATGGAAAATGCCTCCCCAAACGTCAAAGGCTCTCCAAGCTTTGGGGAAGCAAGTACCTCCGACAGTTTTTTATCTGAAGTGGCGCTTTCTACCATGTGGAATAACCAATACTGATTCACTCCAACGCTACGGAGCTGGGCCGGGTCGCTCCGGGCTGGTGGGATTATTTGTTTACAAATTAAAACTAATTCCATTGCTCTAGGTTATGTACATATATATATATATGACCTGGTTTTTCTTCAAGTATTATTAATATCTGATATGTGTAGGACAATCGAAACACACACACACACACACACACAAAAAGAAAGTAAATATGCACCGTGTTCTTCTCTTCTTCAGCATCTCATTTTCCATATCTCGTATTCTTATGCGCTTTATGTCACTTCCTCTTCCTTCAACAAGTTTTTAACGCAATTAATTTTTCTTCTTCATCACAAAGGATAAACAAAATTTTAAGATCTTAAAATAATCCTGAATCCCTATTCAAATTAATTAATGAGGCTGTGCATATGTTAATGATCCTTCCTTTGACAGTTTCACCACGTGGAAAAAAAAAAAAGATAAAAATACCCCTATCATCACTTGAATTTTTAACTAGACATTTTGACCTTATATATTCTCATTTACTTTAAATGTTATATTACTTGAATATGTTAAGTGATTAAAAAAATAATCAAAATCAATAAAAGCTACTCTTCGATCGACGATGAATTCTATAGTTTTTTTTACTATTAGAAAAAATCTATAATCTGTATACAAAAGTAATTGAGAATATCATAAAAAGTGATTATTCAATATCAAAAGTTATACTAATTAGTTAAGATAATAAACCGAGAACAAGATCTTTATGAAGTTGTGCTGAAAGGGAAGAGCAGGAATATTTTTCTTCTCTAACATGAGTAAAATTAAAGCAGTGCTGATAACAAATTAATAAGCGTTGCCGTAGGTTAGAAATTTCCTTACTTCTAAGATGTCCTAAAACTTTTCAAGGAAACTGCAATTCTTAACTGTATGTATTGATTATGCATGAACACTATAGTGCATATTGCTACTCATACATAATACTATAGTGTATAAATCTTGTCACCAAGTCTAAACTCACGATCAGTTTTCCAGAACTCTGATTCCTCTCGAGTTCTTATGATTTCGGAAACCTATTTGCTACCATTTCTTGGAAAAGATAACTACAAATTAATTAATGCCAAAGCAGGTTGGATAAGAACTGAGGCCTTCACCGGTCAACTTGCATGCACTCAGCTTGACATTGATAGCTTTGAAGAAGGCCTTTACGTGCGTTGCTCGACCCAGTTGACAGAGAGCAGCGATCGAGCACACGTACGTACACAACGAGTTTGAATTGGCAAGGTTTTGATAAATAATAAAAGGATTAAAGGCTGCTGCATACAAAAATTTCGAATTAACAGAAATATATATATACGTCTTGGGTGGCCGAAGCAGGCCCGTAGAAGAAGCAAAGGATCCATTTTAGTTAGCGTTCGGGGATGAGAAGTCAACTGTACCCGAAAAACTCTCCCGCTACTGTATCTTATTATTGCTCCATGATTCCCTAAAGGAAAATGCCAAAACATCAAACTCAAAAAAAAAGCAAACAACTCCTGCATATAAAAAAAGTACAACTACTAAATGATGGATCACCAACCCCTCATATTTTTTCTCCGTTTTGATGGATGGCTTCAACTAAAATCCCTATGCTGCCAAACATAACACACACTGCAATGTTAGATGAACACTAGGGTCAAAATTAAGATCACAGAAATGTCGACATTAATTTAATTAGCAGTGCAGTGGTATTGATTGACGTTTTCTTGATCGCCGGGGGGGTAAGAACAATTAACTTCATTAGCGCAACGCGATTCAACAAAAGTCTATCAAAGAGGTCGGCTTGTTTCATTTTCACATGGATAATGCATATAAACCCAAGAATATGACCCCATAAACAAAGAGGTCTCTGTTGTTTACGAATTCCACACGGGTGTCAGCCACTGAATATTAATTGATGTTTGCTTTGAAATCGATAGTTGGAAGCTCAACTAAACGATAGGGACGGCTTGGTAAGTCTCAAGTCATCAGAAGAAGAAAATAGTATTGTACTGTGTTTAAAATTAGTTAATGGAATTGATGGTGCATCAGCATTGCATCTAATTATATATTGTGACAAAGATATAAGTGATAGAATTAGGTTAAGGTTTGGAGCTAAAAGTCTACTTAGAACCTCAGTTTCCCATTTCATAATTACAATAGTCCCCGAGCGCAAGGGATTTGTGAAAGCAACTTATTACCAAACTCGCAGAATTATCGGATTGGATGAAAAGAAAGTGTTGTCCATTTTTCCTTTTCTTAAAAAAAAAAAAAATTTATTTGGGCCCCCAGTTATCCTCCTAAGCAACAGGAAGATTGTCTCCACTTGATTGATTATTAGTCGATTTTCAACTAAACTCATGGCGAAGCCTCGACAAGTAATGTTCCTCAAATTTCAACATCTTACGTTCTTGTGACCGAAAAACCTTTCTTTTGCTAGCAAGTTATCCGCCCCCTTCCCCCTCCCCAACCAAAAAAACACACACACACACACACACGCGGTCGTTGGTGTTTTGAAGGATTAAGAATGCGAGTGAGTGGTATTCAACCCGAGATTATGATGACTAATCTCTGTTTAATTCAGCAACAAGAGGCGGGTGTGGGTACTCAGGTGACATCTGCATATTCAAATGCATCAGCAAGACAAGAAGAAGGCAGGCTTTTTAGTTCTTCATTTGGTTAAAGTCAAGGGCGTTCTGAAATGAAAGAAACAGTACTAAGAAACTACACGCATGAACAAGAAAGAAGCTTTTTTTTTTTTTGGTTGCTCTGCGATTTCAACTTATATTTGGAACTAAACTTCTTGCACGTTTAGCTCAAGTAAATGAATTCAGTCCCACCCAAAAAAAAAAAAAAAAGCGTGTTGATCGAGTTCTAATTGTTTCTTGCTAATTTAATTTATTTCGTTGTGTCCACTTGCTACTTAGTAACTTTTTTTTTTTTTTTAAATCAACACAGAGATATCCGAATCAATTCTTACGAGACCCGACTAATCCCCTGCGGCCCAGACCCTACGCCCCAACCCGACCCTAGCAGGTTAAGTGCGCGGAGGAATCCAGCACAGCGGAGGCTCGAACTTGCTACTTAGTAACGTAGCTGATCTTTTCCTAAGAATTGCGCATGCCATTTAATTTGTTCGACATCGAAATTTCCTGGCAATTGCGCTAATCATTAGAATTGTTTGAGCTACTTAAGTTGTCCACCGGACCTGAACTGACAGCTTAAGGGCTCGCAGCGGCAGCATGGCCCCATCTACTTACTCTTCCATGGATTCATAGAGGACAAAATCTGGCCTCACATGAGCCACGGGCCCAAGATTCTACGAAAGCACAGAACGTATACAATTCCCAATTTACGCGCCCTTGCGACTAAAGCCCACTAGCATCAGAGTTAAAGAAAAGTAGCAGTAGTCCGAGAGTGAAAGGGGTGAGACCATGCATGGGCATTGCATTGCAGACCTCAGGAAAAAAATCAGACACAGAACCATAAAGGAGTATAAAAAGACCCTGTGCATTCAAGAAACTAGGGGACAAATCTGGGGCCCTGTGCATTCAGATCATCAATTTCAGAAACAAGCCTCCAAAAGCAATCTGCTCCAAATTTCTGAATTACATAATTGTTTGTCCCACAAAGTATCCACCATGACAATGCAGCAGTGAGCGATGAACGTCAGATGTAGCTTACTTAATGTGTTCCCCCGCTTTCTGTTAGCACTTTCTCTGCCAGATGCCATTGAGCAAAAAAGAAATTGAAACGTTGAGCAAGCTTTAACAGTTGATGCGAACAAAAGCTTCCGGTTAACAAGTGCAAAATGTAAAACCGCAGAGCGCCGGTACGTGGTGATTGAGAGAGCACAAGGTATTATGGAATTAAACTCTGTGAAAACAAGCACGTAGCAATATGCAAACAGATGATTACCATGTACTAGGTATTTGTGAAAAGATAAGCAGAGTAAACTAGTCAACCTTTTCCCACCCTATAAGAGAGGTTAAGAAAAAAGCTTACCATCACATAAAGTTATTTAAAAAAAAAAAAAAAGCGTTCAGAAGAAGGCCCTTTTGGTGCAAGGATCCCTATTAGTGAGAACATGCTTTCCTATGTAGAACAATTACGTCAGAAGCAGTGCTCAACCAATCTGAAGGAAATCTATCATATCGTTTCTACTTGTTTCTTTTAAGTCCAAATCTGCAAGCTTTATATTTTCCGAACCTCACAGCCGACTTGCAACCAAAGTTATCCAATGCCACTCGAAGGAACCATTAACAAATGAACCAGACAAAAGAGACAACATAATGCAGGTAGTTCTGTGATCTATGGGTGCCAAAACAACTTGCAACATCCCGTTGTTGAGAATCTCACCTATTCAATATGTGCACAATGGGCTGTAATGAACATCACAGAATCTATAAAAGCAAAAAAAAACATCATGTAAATCTGATAGGAGTGCTTAAAAGCTTGAAATGTCTACAAGCACGAAGCTACAACAGTAAAATATGTTCCTCTGGTAAACGAATGAATCATGGCATTTCCAGATTGATGCATCTTAGCAAACAAATTAACATATAAAAGTGAGGTCCAGCAAGGAAGAACACTACCTTGGAGCGAGGCAGCTGACAAGGTTCGATCTATATTATCAATGCGGCGCTGTATGGACTTTAAAACTGAATTTAGAGATGTAAACCTTTTCCTAACACCAGAAATTCTGGCAGCATGCTGCATAACGAAAGGCAATGGTGCATCATCTAACAATTGATCAAGCTCTGAAAGTTCACATTACATATAGTCAGTAAAATCAACTACTAAATTCCTATAACAATTTTAAGGAAAAAAAGAACCCACCAAAATACAAGAAAAAGGGATAGAGCTCACAAACATGTACATAAAAACAAAAGCTAAATAGCCCAGATGCCGGTAACACTCCTCCAGGAAGTAGCATGAGCAATTTATTGCAATATGCCATAGTGAAACGAAAAAAATAAATAAATAAAAGGCAAAAGAGGGACAAGCTGGGCAAAAAGATAATTAAGCTAAAACTAAGGGCAGAGGTGGGTTGGTTTTGGGGGAGAGAGATTTTGGAGAAATGGGGAAGGCAAGTAGAAAGAAAAAAAAGAGTGAACCTGCAGTAAGACGATGGAGGGCGAAGGAGAGTTGATCTTGGCTGCGAAGAGTGTGTTCAGCTCTGTTATCGAAATCTTGAATTATCGTAGAGATCAAGGTAGAGAGACACCTTCCCAGTGAAGATTCTTCCGAACTTGTCCCGTCATTCCCATCATTCTTATTGGGTGAGGCCTCCTCCTCCGCCGACATGGACTCTACCAGGTGTCCTTCCGGCGTTTCTTCCGCCATTGTCTTCAGAGTTTTCTTGCAATTCCCAAAATTTACTTCCTTGTTTCTCTATTTCTTTTTCTATTACCATACGTGAACCTTTTACTTTTACTCCCTCGTACCCCTTCGCTTTAATTGCATGAAAACCCTTATAGTTTCCTCCTTTTATGAATTTGCCCCATATATTCAGTGGAATCTCTCAACTCTGACATGATGATGTCTTTCAAGGCCCCAAAGTAAAGGCTCCAAGCGCCTCTCCCCCGCTTTATAAACGTCTTCCTTCTCAACTTCAACGCTCAATGCTCTTCTTATGAACCCCCCTCTCTGTGTCAGTCCAGTGGCAGAAAGAAAGAATCGTTACTAGGAGTATTATATTTGATACTTAAAAGAAACCAGACTAAATTGGACTATTGTGATGGAGTTAACCTTTTACTCAATAAAACCCCAATTTTTATCCTTGAGTGATACGAGTAAGAGGTATTATTCGTCACTTTACACTTTGTCTTGTAAGAGTTGTTCATCTCTTCAGGTATCTCAGAGCTCTTCTATCCTTCCTATGAAGCAGAAATTAACCCCCAGACCTTTAAGGGTTCGCTCCGAATATGAAGCTAAAGTCAATGGAGCTCTTTCTGCTGACTCTGATCCTCGTTTTCTTGACCGGGTCTGTCTCAAAATTTCTTCTCTTTTACTACTTCATTTTTTCCTTTAAATGAAATGCCTTTACTTCTGTAATGTTAGTATGTTGCGCGTTGGAGGCAAAAGTTTCAAAGAGGAAGTGTTTCGAGATAAAAAGACTATTCTTTGCTCAAGAAAAACATTGATTTTTTCAGATGAATATCATAGTTCGTTTCTCATTTTTAAAGTGGCAACGTTTAAAAATGAAAGAGGGAGACTTTCTTATTCCTTACAGCTGATGCTTCAAAATTGGGGGTACAAAGGAGTTCATTTTATATCTAAAAATTATCACAATTGTAAATGTACGGCAAAATGAGCTCCCTTTTGTGTTTGTTTGATACTCTGCTATTCTGTCTTTCTGAATGATTATTTTCTCTGCTTTCTTCTTGGTGAAGTGAAAGATACCTGCTTCACAGTCAAATGGCTTCTCTATTTTGGGCTAGGTTATTTTAGAAACATATGTCCTTTCTATAATCCATTTCATCATGCATTTGGTTTCTCATCAGTGTTTATTACCTGATGGAATATTTCAAACTACTAAATTAGCATTACTTGGTCTCTGAGTAAGGTTGGCTTTGAAAACTAACGACTTAGGAGTGCTTAAACCTCATGCTGCCAATTCATCTTGACAAAGTATAGATGTAAACTGTTGCTGCACTATGTGGATTAATGACGGCTTGGTGCTAACTTGATTACTTAAAACATTTTTCCAGCAAAAAGCATTGGAAACAGCAATGAATGACATAAACAACTCATTTGGGAAAGGAAGTGTTACAAGACTTGGCGGTGCAGGCGGGGCCTTGGTGTATGTTCTTTTATTTCATAAACAAATCTTGATCTCACATTACCTGTACAAAGGAAGAGTCAAAATACTATGACTACTGCAAATATATAAGGATCTTGGTCTATTCCTTTGGTTGCAGTGAAACTTTTCCAAGTGGCTGCTTGACATTAGACATTGCGTTGGGTGGTGGCCTTCCCAAAGGGAGAATCGTGGAGGTCTTACATTTAGTACTTTTTTTTGCTGTTTTCCATCTAATATTGCTGTGGTAATTATTCGTGTATATGACTTATGTCAAGGATAACTGGTTACTTTCTTTTAGGGATGAAATCACCACCAAGTGTTCTTCTATGGTTATCAATATAAGTACTTATACTTGCCCAAAAAAAAAAAAGAAGAAGAATCCATCACATGTAAATGACATCCACAGGGATGTTGCTTCTACTTACCAAGAACATGTATGACACAGCACTGCAATACAACCAGAATTTAATATAAGTAATAAGTGCAGTGTCGTGGTGACAATTGTAGAATTTCTCACATTAATTCCAGTAGAGAATGCATCCTGTATAACTTTCTATTTGGTAATTGATGGCAATTGTTGAGTCATTTCCATCTAATTAACTTAATCATTGTATTTTTGTTCTTGACATCTCTAATTATTTTGTATCTCAGATTTATGGACCGGAAAGTAGTGGAAAGACCACTCTTGCACTCCATGCAATTGCGGAAGTACAGGTACACTATGTGTCTAAATTGCTATTCTGTACATACATGAACTATGCAGGGACAATCACAGATGTACATTCATTGCTGGTTTCTCCCTTTCCCTTTTTGGGTTGGGGTTGGGAATCAAGGCTGGAAAAGGCGAGTCATTTTACTATTTTCATATCTGAAGTGCCAGTTTAGTGAACTGGAAAACAATACAAGATTAAACAGCTGCTCAAAAAATCAAGTAGAGTGATTTAGTTGCCCTTGGAAGGTAGCTCTGGGGATGATTTTATTAGGTCATATTTCTATGTTGGGTTCTTTTCTGCCTTAAGACCAAATGAAGTTATTTTGAAATTGAATATGCAGAAGCTAGGTGGTAATGCAATGCTTGTCGATGCTGAGCATGTTTTTGATCCAGCTTACTCAAAGGCATTGGGGGTAGATGTAGAAAATTTGATTGTCTGCCAACCTGATAATGGAGAGATGGCTCTAGAGAGTAATTTCTTTCCCTTGTTAACATTGGAAGAATGAAAACCTTTGCGAACATTTTCTGATGATTGAGCTTCAGCTCTGGAGATGCACTTACTTTAGTTGAAATATGTCTTGTCTCAGTTGCGGATCGCATGTGTAGATCTGGTGCTGTGGATCTCATTTGCATTGATTCAGTGTCAGCTCTTACCCCACGAGCTGAAATAGAAGTGAGAAACATGCTTCTCTTTTCAACTTTAGAACCTGATAATTTGTCACCAATGCCTTCTACTTAGTTCATTCTCCTCTGCATAGGGAGAAATTGGAATGCAGCAAATGGGTTTGCAGGCAAGGCTTATGAGTCAAGCTTTGCGTAAAATGTCAGGCAATGCTTCAAAAGCTGGATGCACTCTTATTTTCCTGAATCAAATAAGATACAAGGTATTTCCTTTTCTTTATCCAAAAAGTTTAGGAGGTGGGGATGCTATCCCATTCCATAGCTACGGCACTTCACCGGGTTTGAGTATTACATCTCACCTTGATGTTTTCCTGACTTTCAGTAACCTTGGTCATAGACCTGGGATGATGGGGACCACCACAACTGCTGTCTTCTAGATAATTCATATAGTTGTTATCAGTATGGATAGCTGTTTTTCTCAAAGTTTAGGCATCCGTAGTATTACAAGCACCTAAACTATCCGTATCACTGGTTAATTCTAGTTCACTTTCATATAGTGCTGCACTCATTATTTATTTGCAATCAGCATTTTGATTTATTCTGTTCATCTCCATTTTATCATCTCTTCTTGGTTTAATCAGATTGGTGTATACTATGGAAACCCTGAAGTCACTAGTGGAGGGATTGCTTTGAAGTTCTTTGCATCAGTTCGACTTGAGATACGGCCTATTGGGAAGATAAAGTCTGTAAGCACAAAATCTATTCAACTGATTTGTGCATTATCCTTGTCTATTCCAGTTCTTTCTGACTTATTGTTGCAGGTCAAGGGAGATGAAGAGATTGGTCTTAAGGTTCGTGTACGAGTTCAAAAGAGTAAGGTGATTATTTTTTGTTCTATTGCCTTAATCGAAGTGCATAATATTTGCTGTTGGATAAACGTCCTTCATAAGCCAGCGTTGGCATGATTTGCAGTTCTACTGATTTGAGTAAAATCTTTGTATTCAGATTATATGTTTACATTCTCGCAATTAAGTTTGTTAGAGAACTGATAAACTTCGGAGTTGGAGAAGTTTGTTCGAATTTTGGTCCTCCATATGGTTGTAATGTGTACTTGGTTATGGAACTTAAAGCTATAATGTAGCTGAGGAATGATGCTTTACTTGGTTCAACATGTAGCTAAGGCATAGTGCTTTACTTAAGTTCAACCTGCTTAATTTCTTCTCAAGGTAATATTGACAATTGAAATATTTTTCAGAATATATATGAACTGCCTCATTGCTCAGGATTTACATCTCTGAAATGTGCTTGTCATTTAGCTGAGTAGTCATTTTTGTAGGTTTCGAGGCCTTACAAGCAAGCTGAATTTGAAATCATATTCGGAGAGGGTGTTAGCAAGTTGGTATGCCTTGCAGCACACTGCACTTAATTTATGTGTAAGATTTTCTCTTCCTTCTGATCTTCAATTTATCTGCAGGGTTGTGTTTTGGATTGTGCTGAAATAATGGATATTGTGCTAAAGAAGGGCTCATGGTATAGCTATGCGGATCAGAGGTATGTACTTTGCATCCATCATGGGCATCTCTTCTGCAAAATTTTGGGAAAAGAGAGGGGGGGGGGGTTTGTTTTTAGTGCGTAACATTTAGCAGGTGTAATCTTGCATGAATTTGCTGTCTCTAAGTGCCATAGGAACAAAATTCGTTTCTAGTATGTGCATTTTATGTCTACTCTGACATTCTGGCAATTGATTTCTGTTTGAGCTCTAGATAGGCTGGATAGGTGGTATATGATCAATCACGGCAGATCCATTGCTTATTTTTTTCGCGGTGTTGTGATGATGCATTTTAGATGTATGCATTACATGGTTGCTTTTAATGATCCGTTCTGTTTCTTTACTGGCTAGAGTATATATTTCGGGACGTCCTACTATCTTGGTTAGAAAAGTCTGCAAGTTTTGAATTCAATTAAAAGCAGTGTAGTGACACTTTCTATCACCATATTCGATGCCTATCATTTACTAGATAGCACTATGGTCCGGAAATCTTACTAATAGTTTTAGTAATATAGTGGGTAGACTTTGACATTTAGTGAGATCACTTTCTGGCCCTTCAATTCTCATCTTGAAGTTGGCTGTCAGCTCATATTAGTCTTTAGGACAGTCAGATTATCAGATTTAAACATATACCGTGTTTTTGTTATTGTTTTCAACTGTGTCTTGTAGAATGGTTTCAATAGTACTGTATCAGTAAGCGCTTGGGCTAAAAAATTGAGCTTTGTTTGTCTGATTTTGACTGCATTAAAGTTTTGCATTCTCAAAGAGCTTAACTGAATCTTGTTATTTAACGGGCCTCATATTTGTATTGTGGCTCACCGCAATTTTCTGTTCTATAATTAACGAAGGTTGGGGCAAGGAAGAGACAGAGCGTTACAGTACTTGAAAGAAAACCCCTTACTGAGTGAAGAAGTAGAGAAGGTGATGTACTCTCCTCACACAATGTGGATATTATTCTGGAGAAAAGTGCAGATTATTCAAAATCTCTAATCAAACAACGTATTGGTTTATCGTTATGCTTGAGTGCTATGTCAAGTAATAAAACTTAAAAAGCGTTTGTATTATTTATTAGCTCATTGGATGAAATAGATATACAAATATATGGGATGTTGTGCCTAAGATGATTGTTTCCCTGTTTGGGCTTTGCGGCAGTAATATGATGAACAATAAAAAGTAAACAGCACTGCAGATCATCATTTGTCCATGCAAAATGAAAAGGGAAGCAGCTCTATAACTTTTTCTTGCAGAGAGCAAGGATGCACCAGCTTGGATTGGGAGTTGATCTAATGACCTTGCTTTCACAATAAAGCCTATTCAATATCAGCCTTGCCTTTGGGTCTAAATGAACCTAAAAATTGCCAATGCACATTTCCTTTTGAGCTTCTAAGGATACCTTTATTTGTATCCATTTCCATGCATTTATTAGAACTCTGATGTTATGAACTTTCATTTTTCGAGTGCAGATGGTTCGCTCTGCCATGGCAGAGGGAGTTGGACACGTAGGCTCATCTTACATGAAATTGACACCTCCACAGCATGAAGATGAAGATATTTTCCATGAGATGCAACGAGAATGATGAAATGCTTCACGTTACAGAGATCTGGATGATTGGATGGAAGACTTGAGGGCATAGGTTACATTGCTCCATGACAAAACAATGTGAATTGGTGCGGTTCACGTCAGTCGGTAAAGGCTTACAGGTGATGGGGAGAGTAACGACTTGGAGTTCATGCTCATATGAGATTTGTTTGACAATGCAGACGTATTTTGTCATCAATTTTGGGGAAGAACAAGTTCATTTAGTTTAGTACCCTAATGAGGAATGTACAGTTTACTGGGACTTGGAGGGCATTGAGGGGGTGCTGGGAGGGTCACATATTGTAATATCCATATCCTCTTTCCAAAGACAGTTTGAACATTCGCATAAAATTTTTAATGATATTGAGTGAGCAAGTTTTCTTTACAGTCTCGTCTTCCTTCTACCCTCATTGGAGTTTGGAAATGCATTGGGCTGTCGTTGTGTTATACAATCCCTATATGCAACTGAATGGAGCAACGAGAAGAGGGCCTAACGAAAGAGAACATAGATTTTACGTCAATCATTAATCAAAAGTTGGTAAACTCAGCTGAAGTATGCCATGTGAACCAATTAGGGAAGGATGCTAATCACACATCAGAAATATCATGGTAAAAAAGTATGATTACATTTAACATGACACAAGCTGAAAACGAGTTTTGATCCCACAAAATATATGATCCATACATGTTTTTGGGAACAATTCCTTCCTGGATACAAGCTATAATGTCACATGGATTACAGGGGGCAATTGTCTACTGTGCCAAAGCACTGGTGTTGTAAACTAGTAGAGCACCTCCTGCCAGAATGCCAGCCAGGGTAACTGCCCAGATTGCCAGGCCAGTGCTACCTGTATTATATTTCAAAATGGATCATCACATATCGCCATCAGAATATTCTTTGTTTTTCCAAAGAAAGGGCAGAGGATCAATGAGGATGGATTAAGAAAGGGGATGATCATAATATGTTCTTGTCTGCGAGGTTATAATAAATTCTCAAAAATCAAGAGTCATATTCTCTACTCTCCTCCACCTCCTTCACTATAGGATTCATGTAAAACTGCTAGCTAATCTTACCGCCAACATAGACGTCACCGCTTGGAGACCAGTCCCTCGTGTCGAAGATTGGACTGCATTTTGTTCAAACATAAAACATGTTAGTATCTCTATACTGAAATATCATCGTGGTTGGATAAACAACTAGTTGTTCGTTTGTTATTAAAAAGAAAGGAAAAAACAACAATTAAATCGTTAGCATAATCATCGTGAACGCGTTTTTCAATCACTCTTTTATCTTCCGTCATCCTCTCATATGCCACAAAACAGTAGTAGAGTGCTATTCTAAAACAAATGTTCAAATAACCTCCCGTCCACACAGGTATTTATTTGATAGCTACAAACCAAGAATTTTGACCCTCACCTGTATCCGTCGACATTAGCACCGTACCTGTCAACAAATTGGTAAACGCCCTTTCCCTGAACAAATGCCAGAATATCAAATCGAAGGAAGAGACATGCATATGCAGGTTGTAAAGAAGGACAGACTAATGATTTTTAGACCAGTTAGTAATAATATTTTACCTTTCCTTTCCTGCCGGAAGCGTCAAGTCCCTCCCTCAAAGTCATACCTCCGTTAATTCCTATTATAATGACATTCCGAATACCATCCATCTCAATCAACCACTTGACATAACAATGATGAAACCATTTGTTCAGAAACAATTACACTACTGTTTACTATCTTTTCGTGAAGCAACTAGAGGGAGGGGGACTTGTAGTAATTCTTTAATCGCCTAATTCAGTTGTAGTGAGATTAAGACTGACCATAAGGTTTGTCGGTCTTGATCTTCTTCCCTTTGGCTTGCACTCTGAAAGATGAGGAGGTTCTTGCAAGTGAAGGGAGGCCTCTAACTGCTGATTTCTCAGCTGTGAAAACAGCAGGCTTAAGGCTCAACGAACTCATCACTGTGGTTGCCATTTCTTTTGCTGCTGCTGCTGCCGCCGCCTTTGCCCTATAAATTCCTTACAAGCGTACGAGTCGGCTGAAATATGCGCTTGTGGAAGAATCTTGCTGGCTCTGGTGATTGCCATATGTTCACACGTGGCATAACGCTTATGGATTGGTTTTGGATATGGCATTACAGCATTATCCAAATGCAAGCCCTCTGCACCAACCAACCCCAAAAAAAAAAGAAAAATCTCTCTCTCTCTCTATATATATATATATATATATATATATATGTAGAATTCAAAAATTGATGAGGTGTCTCTTTCGATTTGTTCACTTCCAAAGTACGCAGCAACGTCACGGGAACCAGATTTGTCAATCAGCCATTGGTTGTCGTCGGAAAAAGAAAATTAATATTTTGCATTTTTCTTAATTTTCAGCTATCTTTCAAGTTTAAACCCAGAATACAGAACAAAAAATCAGCAATATTTACCGAAAAATTCCATTTATTGACTATTACATCAAGAGTACGGGAATTACCGGCACCCATAAAAGAAAACGGGAATTACTGCACAACGAATCACTTTGTGCCACTCTCTGTCCCATTTTTTATTATATTGCTATTTCCCCTTCGTAACAATCATGTTTTGTTTTAGTTCATATTGTGAGAACAATCTCTCTTTCTTGTCTTTGCTAAGCGGGCTTTATGCTGTTATTGCAACAGTCAGTCAAGTCATGTTTCGCTCACAGTTCAGTAAACTTTGCAGCCGCAGCTATGCCACTCAGTATTGCACCTTCAACGTTAGGGCTAACACAGAAGTCACCGCACACTGCTAATCTCCTGTTTCCGTTCCAGAGACACCTCTCCTCTGCTGCTATGCTTTTCGCAGGAAATGCACTTCCCCTGTCAAGTAATATATTATACCACGCAGCCACTCTTGGAATGTAAACATTCTGAGAAGTAGAAACAAAACAAACTAAAATATGCTAGAACATTCTTCGTCAATCGTGTCAATGGACTAATCCTAGAACATTCACACTCCCAACATCCATTTGATCACTCACACAGATTTTAATTAATGCATCTAAAAGAGAAGTTTCCCTTCCCTCCTGAAAGGTCACATAAAGAGATCTCAAAATCTATCCCGTTGCAAGAAATACGAGTTTGGAGCAGTTACTAAGACTAGATTAGACGCATCAAAATCATTTTCTCCACCCGCTAGGGAGGGAGAAAAATTACTAAGTGCATTGCACACATTATAGCCTGTATTCAAAATTTGGCCTCTGAGTCTGAAGACATCATCTCAAGTTTTTTTTTAAAAAAAAAAAAATAAACTGAAAAAACAAGATCTCCTGCTCAAATCCATAATTTATTTTTTTTTTGGGAAGCAAAAAGTGAAAAGACAAATTTGCCTTTAATTTAAACATTATTCTGCTCGTTTTGAAAAGAGGGGAGTGAGATTGCAGCCACATGCCATATCTTATGCAGAAAAAGCTGCCAGTTTTTTTTTTAAAAAAAATAAAATCATCAATTTAAAATTGAGTTTGAATACCAACCATCGGTGAGCTTTCTTGAAAAACAGCTGAGATACATCAAGTCCAGTGCCTTTAAATTCTTGAACAAGTTCTTCAGCCACGTTTGCTAGTATTGCATTAGTAGGCCTTTGAAGCCCTGTTCGAGCAATGATGTTCTCTGCATACTGTGCTGTTGAATGCAGCACCCAACGTTCACTTCATATAAAGGCAGAATGAAAGAGAAAGAAAACGTTAAAAGCACAGTAGTAATGGATTTTGAAACTCAAATCACTGTTATATTCTTAATCTCCTCACATTTAAACTCACACATACCTAGTGATTGAACGACCAGGCTTACTACTGTCACAAAATGCCCAGCTTAAGTTTTCTGAATTCTTGAATGAAAAGCCCTTAACTGGAATCTGAGAGTCAGTAGAGAAAACGATCAATGATCCAGAAGTTATAAACAAGTTCCAGCAGACATGGTAGGTTTGGACTTGTGAAATGTTCTAATAGGAGTGGAACCAGACAACAAGAATAGGGGAAGAGGACAAATAAATATTTGTATTGCATCAGCAAAAGCCTGAAGAAAGGTGGAAAAGAAATTCTCACCGATTGCAAAGGCCGTTCAAATGCCAGCATCAGAGCAAAGCATGAAACAACAGGAATTTCTTTGACCTTCAAAGCTATTTCTGGTACCATGCTCAAGTCTTAGAAGGTAAGGGAGAGAATAGATGGGAAAGGTCAAAGTATTTGGTTAATCTTTGACAGAAAACTACCTTCCAGTTAAAGCAGACATTTTATCTAGGGAAAAAATCACAAACACAAAGCACCCGCATGTAAATAGAAATGATATGCATAATGCAACCAATACCATCATTCAACAAATAAGGTGTAATGAGCTAGTTGAACCCTGCTAGACACAAAATTCCCAGGCTAAAAACCAACAAAACTTCAAATTAGTCAACTAAGTGGAAACCACAGATTAGCTTGATAATCTACCAATAATAAAATTAAAGATTCAGGAATGTATAACATATATCTTAAGGCAAAATTCTAGACTTTCCTTTCCTTGATGCCTAGTAATAGCACAATGTAGTTAAACGTTCCAAGCATCAGAATACAATGCATACATTACATTTTGGGAACAAAGTATGTTTAATTATATATAATTTGTAAGGCATCAAGTACATGAAATATCATCGCCATCAGAAGACATCGAATAGGTCATATCACCAATTTCTTTGGATCTAATTTGCACAACCAATTCACTGAAGGAATATAAATTTCGCTTTACAGTCTATAGTACTTAAAGAAAACGGTGTCAATAAAGTAAAAGAAAAACTACTCTGCTCCTAACTCTATGCTGTTTTCTATTATTTTTTTCTCTTTGACAATTCAATTGAGTCACTACTTGATGCTTAATGAGAAGTTCATCACAATTAGAGAAACAAGAAAACAAAAAGCATCACAAAAAAAGAATCATAAGACATTTTGACAAGTACGGTCATTATTACCAACAACATTTGGTTCAATACATACCTCAAATCATGAAATATGTTTGACTAAAAGGAGGGAAGACATACCTAAAGGAGGTTTTCTTCCAGTTGCCGTTGTGAATCTGGAAGAAAACATATTCTTATCTGATGTCACCACTCCATTAAATTGACCAAGATCTTGTCCATCCAAACTGGTCAATGACCACAAATCCTCATACTCTAACCATTCAACCTTCCCAACACCCAATCCGAAACAACTCCTCACTCCTACACATTAAGTCTGTTCAGTTTGAAACAAAATGATTTACTTTTTTAGTTAATGTTAATTTTTTTTGGACAAGTGTAGTATTTCAATAAGAAACAAGTTGCATCTTATCCATTACCAGGTTCTGAGGATAAAGCTCGGCAGATGGAGTTCATTCCTGG